AGGAGTTGGAGGTTGCTGTGAGCTGTGATGCCACGGCACTCTATCCAGGGGGACAGCTTGAGGCTCTGTCTCAAAAAAAAAAAAAAAACAAAAAAAAACTGAAAGTGTAACTCCTACTACTGGGCATTTATCCATATGACAGGAAGTCAGTATATCGAGGAGACATCTGGACTCCCAAGTTTATTGCAGCATCATTCACAATAGCCAAGATATGGAATTAACTTCAATATCCATAGATCAATAGATAAACGAATTTTAAAAATGTGGCATGCATACACAATGGAATACAAAAGGACAAAATCCTGTCATGTGTTGCAACATGGATGACCTGGAGGACGTTATGTTAAGTGAAACAACTCAGCCACGGAAAGATATATACCACATGTCCTCACTCATACGTGGTAGGTCAAAAAAAGTTCTGCTTCTGAAAGTAGAGAGTAGAATTGCCGTTATCAGAGGCTGGGGGATTTGGTGGGGCAGAGGATAGGGAGAGGTTGGTTAATGGATACAAAGTCACAGCCACGTAGGAGGATAAATCTAGGGTTCTATTGTACTGTAAGGTGACTATAGTTAACAATAACTTAATGTATATTTTTAAGAAGCCAGAGTATTTTGAATGTTCCCAACACAAAGAAATGATAAATCTTTGAGGTGACAAATATATATGCTTATTACCCTGATTTGATCATTACACATTACATATGTGTGTTGGAATATCACTCTATATAATTATGTGACAACTAAAAATAAAATAAAAAAATCGCTCCCAGAACACTCATTCCTTCCCTAGTTTGTCTTCTCCTTGGAACTTATCCCAGTGTGACATTTTGCGTATTTCACTCCTTTATCATATTTATTGGCTGCCACCTTCATAAGAATGTAAGCTCCATGAGGGCAGGAATTTTGTCTGTTTTATCCATGAGCATATTTCCTGTACCAGAACAGGCCTGGCTCAGAGTGGGTGCTTTGAGTGTTCTTGGAATGACGAGTGACAGGTGGCAGGAGGACAGTGGTCAGTGAGACAGGGCCCTCGGAACAGGGAGCAGCAGGGCTAGGGCGTCTTTCTGCAGCCTCCAGTCTGTCTGGATCCCCCAGAAGGTTCGTAAGTGGGCAAAGCCCCTATGATCCTCCAGGGCACGAGTCATCACAATATTTGCTGAACACACGCTGCTGAGTATAGGGTGGGAGGAGACCTTGGGCCTTTTTTTGTTGGTTTCTGGGCTCCTGGGCCTTGCTTGCCCTGGCAAGCAAGCAGTGAATAGACTTCCCAGTGATTCAGATTGAATCACAGCTTCTCAGGCTCTGTGGGGGTTGGATGGTTTCTCCCTGGTTTAATAGTGCAGATGTCAACTATAGGGGTGAGAGAGACAGAGGCAGGCGGGCAAACTCAGAGAGGGACACAGAGAGGAGTCAGGCCACAGGAGGAGGGTCAGAGGGGCACAAGGGGGAGAGACACAGAGAGGTTGAATCAGGCCAAGGAAGATGTTTGGATGGAGGAGATATTTTATAAAATAAATTATGAAAGAGAAACTGAGAGACTGAGGTAGAAAGGTAGAAACAGATGGTGCTCTTGCTCTGGGCCCCTGAGGTCAATGTGATAAGGAGGCTGAAATATAGAGACCCCAAATAATAGCTGAGTAGTAGTGTCTGGGCCCCCTGGCTCTGGAGTCAGCTGCCAGGATTGAATTTCAGTTCCTCTGCTAGGCAGCTGACATTTGGTGAATTGGGTAGCATCTTTGAGCCTTGGTCTCCTTGTCTATAAAATGGGTGTTCTTAGGGAACCTATCTCATAAAGTTGTTTGGCAGAAGCATCTAATATAACAGAAGCATCTAATACAACAGTTTCTGGACACAGTAAGTGCTCAGTAAATGGCATCTCTGGTTAGGATCATCAGGACGGTGAGAAGTTGTATCATAGCAACAAGAAGGGAGAGACAAACCTAGTAAAAAAAGGAGACGGAAAGAGATGAGTGAGGAGCATGGTGGGGCGGGGGCAGAGCAGGTTGAGAGGATAGAAAAGGGGCCCAGAGAAGACTGCAGAGAGAGGCAGAAGTGCATTGTGGAAGGAAGAAGGTCAGGAGGCGGAGCGCTCCTGGGGCCACTGAGTGGGGGGAGTGGCAACAGAGGGGCTGGCAAAGGAGAGGGACAGGTGGAGTCCCTGTAACCAGGATCAATGTCCTGCGTGCCTTGGCCACCCAGAGTTGTGGCCAGCGCGGCACCTGGAGTGGGAGGTGCTTTCAAGACCCTGCAGCCTCGACCTTTACTGATAGCTGGAGCTCGGAGCCCCATTGCAAGTGCCCACTACTGGTGGTTGCCAAGGTTACCTGCGGAGCTGCTCTCGAAGTGCCTGCAGCTCCTGCTCCCCTTCTCTCAGCAGCTGCTCCTGGCACTCGGCCTGCTCCCTGGCCTTCTGAAGCTCGTGCCTGAGGCTCTGGAGGTGAAGGAGAGAAGGGGGAGCTGAGGGAAGAAGACAGAGGCCCTCAGGCCTGGGGGTGATCTGATGAACTTCCCCATGAGACCCCAGACCCTGCCCTGGGGTGGAGGGTAAGATCCAGGTTGGGGCTGGGTGCCCAGCTCTGTCCTATGCTCTGCCCCTGGGGAACCTGGGGCAGCTGTTTCTTTCTTCACTATAGGACTAAGTTACAAAGCTCCAGGACCTGGAAGTCTGGCTAGGGAGGAAGCTGAAGAAAGGCTCAGTAACAATCTTGGGTGACCTGGAGAAGCATCTGCAACAAGAGCAAGTAGACGGGGGCTGCAGCCATGAACTTGAGTTTTAGGAAAAGACCTGCCATAACAAGGAATATGGAGCTTGAGAATAAGTGACTGCCCTGAAGAACTGTTGGGAAGGGATCCCAAACTCAAATGCCTGCAGGGGCAAGGCCTAGAGTGAGGTAATAGGGAGAGGTGGGGAGTGTGTGGAACTGAAGAATGGTGTGGCTTTCAAAAGTCCTCTCCAAATAATAATCCTGTGCGGGCCAATAAAAATTGATCTGTGGGCTGGAATGGCCCCTGGGCTACCAATGGAGACCCCCATCTGTGGACCAGGTCAGAGGAGGAAGTATCTGTATCTCTGTCAGATACAGAGCTCAACTGCTCTCACCTCGACCATGTCCTGCAGGGGCACTTCAGCTTGTTCCTCCCTTCTGACCACACTGGCCATTCCCATGTGCTTCTGTGGCTTCACTGTTGTGGGGGAGCCTTCCTGTGTTCCCAGGCCCTGAAAGAATAAGGACTCTCCCAGAGCTCTCGGCCCCTCCCATTCTTGTCTGATCCCTGGTGTTGCTTCCTCTGTTGCCCCTCTGGGGATGGAGGCCAGCAGCTTCTGGACATGACCCCACTCTGATCCTCCCTCATGAGTCCCCTCTGTGGTTCTCTGACCCTTTGCAGTTGGCAGAAGCCCTCTGCCCTCAGCCTCCCTCCCTATCACCTGCCTCTGAGGCCCCTTGGCCCCCTGCCCCGGGATGCTGGGTGTGGAGCTCTCCAGGAAGATTTCAATCCATGGGGCTCCCTCCTTCTGGTCCAGCTCCTCCCACTCTGCATCCCCCAAGCTCTGGGAGGATTCGAGGCTCCTGGAGTCTTCTTTCTTCTTTTCCAAAAAGCAGGAAAGATGCCTTTGTTGTTGGGATTCAGGGACTCTAACCAACTGGTGTCCCCTGGGTGCATCTTGCAGACAGCTGGCTTGACTGGTGTGTGGCTCGTCTAGCTGGACTCCTGTGGGACCTTCATATACAGCTGGGATCTGGAGAGAAGCCCCCAAACTTGTCATCCCTTAGTACCAATTCACTGACCTGCTGCACAGGAGAGGCCACAACTTTACCCCAATGGGTTTGGTGAATATGTGGATTCCTGGGCCTCCTCACTGGAAAATTTTGATTTATCAGACTAGAAATTTGAATCTGGGGCTCTGGAGGTGAAGGACGGAAGGGGGCTCTGAGGGAGGAAGACAGAGACGCCCAGGCCTGGCGCTGACCTGACCAACATCCCCATGAGACCCCAGCCTTCCTTCAGCCTCCACCCTAGCCGGCTTAGATCTGGTGAGGTCAGCAGTGTATCTCAATGTCTTCTCTCCCATCCCAGAACTTATTCTTCTCCTTCTGCTCCTGGGTCTTCTGATCTGTTTGGCTTCCCCTGAGTTCCTCCACCTCTCTCCCTTAATCTTTTTTCCTGAATTTGACTTTGTGTTTCAGTTTTCTTACCTACAAAAGGGGAATAATAATAGCTGGTATGCAGAGTTGTGATAAAAGCTGAAACGGACTGATGCCCAGCTAAGAGTGATCTCTCTCAAGAGACCTCTGCGTCTTTTTCCTTGTCTGTATCACTGGACTCAACATGTATTGCAATGTGTTCCCTTAGGGTCTGTCTCTATGAAGACACCTTGAACTCCTGTGGGTCAGAGTCCTGATAGTATCTATATTTGGTGCCTAGAAGCTGATTGGGGGCGCAAACAATGCTTATGGAAAGATGATAACAACAATGAATGTGACCACAGCTTGGCTTGTTGTGAGCACGTAGCCAGGAGCCTTCCTGTGTACTTTACGTGAGTTGTCTCACTTCACCCTAACAATCACCCTATGAGGTAGGGCAAGCAACTTGCCCAAAGACCGTGGTTAGCAAAAAGTGAGGCTGAGCTTTGAACCAGGCAATCTGTCCATTGAGTTGTTCCCTGGACTGAACTAGACATTTGGCAATTGTCCCATGCAGGGGACTCAGCAGGTGGTCTTGCTGGTCTGTTTCTTTTAAGCTTCCAGTTACCCACCCCAGCTCCTCTTCCTCCGTGGGCCCAGTGGCTTTTACCAATGGCGCTAGTGTTCTCTTTCTTCACAGATATCCCCACCTAGGAATAGGAGCCCTGTCCGCTGTGGCTCTGCAGTCCACTTGTCCCTGGCCTCAGGCTCTGTCTATTCAGTTGGGTCAGGGATCTCTGTGTACTCAGAGAGGGAAACCCAGTTACTGCTCAACTTGGGAGTTCCCTAAAGATGGGAAGAAGCAACTTGGAGTGAAGCGGGGGCGGGGGGGCACAGGCACCTCCTTTGGGGCATCTTTGGTTTTCCCGGGTCTTCTTCCTTGGATCTGGCTGGAATTGGAACAGCGTGATCTGAAAGTAGAAGAGTCTCTTCAGAGATGGGCTTGGTCCTCAGATGGAGGGCATACCATCTTTCTACCACACCTTCATCCCAGCACCCTTTCTGCCTTGCTGCCCACCAGCCCTCATGCATCCTACCCTCCATTCATGCATACATCCCATCCCAACATCACACCTTCCATACATCCTTCCAGCCCTTTCCTCCAATTGCCCATCAAATCTTCAATGACTGAGTATTCTAGGCAGCATCATGAGATGGCATGAGATCACAATGGGAATATGCAAGGCTAGGGAGATGGAGGTTCCAGGGTTAAGGAGCAAGAAGAGAGGCAGAGATGAATGGGTCTGGAGGCTGAGAGCTTAGTGCTTGCCTGGGTTGTGTGTTAGTCATGGGATTGGGTGTTGAAAAGAGCCTTCCCTCCTTGCTGCACCCACTCACTCTGAGAACATGGGCCAGGCCTCATCCAGATCTTGCCGCTGCAGGTCCAAGTTGAAGGCCATGCCATTGAGAGTGTAGAGAGAGTCCAGGAAGTCTTCCTGGAGTTCTGGGTACAACAGAGGGCTCCGGGGGCCATACCATTCCCTGTATTAACAGTGATCAGCACTCTTGGCCTTTGACCCTGGTGCTATTGTCACACCCAGTCTCACAGAATCAGTCTACTATACATTGCAATGGGACTGTTCCCCAGGTAGACTTGTGGCCCTTTGAAAGCAGGAGGTCTGAGCACCATGATGCTACCAGGTCTCTTGGGTTCTAACCTCCCAACTGCACTTTCTTCCTTTAAGACTCTTGTTTTAATTTCCCTGGACATTAAATCACTCATCTGGGATAAGGAAGTAGGGAAAGTGGGCCCAGAGAGTCTCTGTGGGAGGATGCCCCAAAAGCCCCACCTGGTGAGCTCTGGGTTCAGGAGGCAGAGCTGCAGGGCCTCAGCCAGCTGTCTGTGGACCAGGCAGAAGCGGATGAAGGCACGGCCTTTCCCCAGAGGAGTCTTCAACTGCAGAATGGACAAGGGCAAAGCAGGGGGCAGTGTTGGGACGGGGAAACGCGATGCCGAGAAGGAGAAGCTGGGAACTGGCAGTTGATGAGAAGGGCGTAGAGGGACCTGCAGGCTACAGGAGGAAAGGAGTGGCAGGTGCTGAAGGGCAGTGCTGAAGGCAGTGCTAAGGGAGATGGGGTCCTGGTGAAGGGTCCTGGTCAGTGGAGCAGGGACAGGTAGGAAAGGGACCTCAGGCAGGCTTGTGCCCTCCTACCCCAGACATTCTTATCAAAGGTTGGTAGCAGGGTCCCTTCGTGCTCCCAAAGTCAGCCTTCCTGCCACCTGGCCTTGGATACCTTGTCCTGTGAGCAGACGAAGCGGGCTGCCTCTGTGTCTCTCCGCTGCTGCCGCAGGGCCGTACAGAGAAAGTCCCAGTAATCCTTTCGAGGTCCTAGGAAGCTCTTCTGCTCTTTCTGGTCAAACTGGGACCAAAATGAGAGAAAGAAAAGTGTAGAAATGCTTCCTCTACCTCACATTCCAGCATGCTGGGTGGGCATGCAGTAGGAGAAAAGATGCTGGCTCTGTCCTCACTGGCTGTGTGACCAGGAGCAAGCTGTTTGACCTCTCTGAGCCTCAGTACTCTTCTCCTTCCTTCAGACACTTATCCAGCACTTACTATGAACTAGGCTTTCATCTAAACCCTGGGGATACAGCAATGAACAAACTGATCTCACAAAGCTCTCATCCTGGTAGGGGAGTTAGACAATAATCAAAGTAAGTAAGTAAACCACAGCGTATATTAGATAGTGCTAACTGCGACGGAGGGAAAATAGAGCTAGAAAGGAGAGTAGAAAGGGCATGAGTGTGGGCCTGCTGGTGTGTGTGTTGAAGATTTAGATCAGGACCTGAAGGAAATGGGAAACTGCCAAACCAGTTTGATGAGAGTATTTCAAAATGTATATGAAAACAGCACACTGTACCCCATGATTGCATTAATGTACACAGTTATGCTATAAGAAATAAAAAAAAAAATTGCATGGGAGGAGCTCTCAAGGCAGAGGAAACAGCAAGTGCAAGGCCCTGGGGCAGGAGCACGCCTGCTGTGCTCTAAGATGATCATGGAGGCCAGGGCAGCTGGAGCGGAGCAGGTGAGCAGACTGGCCAGAGATGACGTCAGAGAAGGGAGAAGGGGTGTGTGTGTGTGGTGGTCAAGACACAAAGGGGAGAGGGAGGATTAAACAAGCAGGAGCATATAAAGGTGTAGCCAGACACATAGTAGGTGCTCAGCAAAGGCGAATGGTAGTTATTATTGGGACTCTAGCCACAAGAAAGGCCAGTCGTAGGACATCCAGGCATCTGAAGTTTTAGTGTTCAGAGCAGGGTGGCTGCTCCAAGCTCATGGTCCTGCCCAACCCCAGCTTTGCCCTAACTCACTTCCCAGGCTCCAGTGGCAGCCCCCAAGAGTGAGCTTAAACGTGAGGAAGGAGAGGGAGATGAGCCAGTGCAGAGTAACGAGGGAGGCAGGGCTCCTCCCTCAGTCTCTGGCAAAGCCCTCCCAGTCCTCTGGTTCTGAGGAGGAGAGAGTCCCACCTGCAGCAGCAGCTCCAGGCAGCCGCAGAGTCTGTGCAGTTCAGCACAGGCATCGGTCACTGGCTCCTGCCTGTCCCTGTAGCACTGGAGGATGGCAGAGACAGCAGCTACAGAAAGGAGAGTGGACATCAGACATCAGGTAGCAAGGCCACTGGTCAACAGAATCCCAAGTCCCCACACCTCCCCTGTAGCTTAGTTCCGGAAAATCAGGACACACTCACATTTAAGGTCCTCGATGACCTTGAGCATGGCCCCCTCTTCTGACGTGGGTACTTGAAAATGGTGCAATTCCTTGTGACTTGCAAGAGTGGGCCAGAAGGACCCTCTGAGCTCAGCTGTCTGACTGTCTCCTTATCCAAAGGAGGAATCAGAGCCTAGAGAGGGAGCATGACTTATCCAGGGTCACACAGAGTTAGCTGGTGGCGTGAAGATGTCCAGCCCTTCCATGTGGGCCTGTATGATGAGGATGTTGTGGCTGCCCCTAACTGAGTAGGCCCTAGGTACCAGACACTGTGCTAATTCCTTGACATCCTTGTCCCACTCAACACCCACAATAACCCTGAGAGAGTTTAACACCATTATAGAAAAGGAGACTGGGGCACAGAGAGGGTAAGTCATTGATCCATCATCACAGAGCTTTGCAGATTTGATCTGAGGTCTGTGTGTCCACAGGGTCCAGATTCTGGACCCTGACTTGATGTGAGGAACCTCCTGAGTGTCCCTGCCATGTGAATACCAGGCTAGGGGAATGGCACCTCCCGTCCCATGGAGAGCCCTCAGCCTTGCTCCGGCAGTCATCCTCCTTGAGTGAGACACATTCATCCTTTCCTGGGCCCCAGCTCAGTGGAGAACATGTCTCAAAGGAGGAGAGGGAAGTGGAAGCAGAGGAGGGCCCCGGGCTGGGACTGAGCCAGGCCCTGGGCATGTGAGGGGAGCAGGGCACTGGGTGTTCATCTTGCCACTCTCTCCCAGGGGACTGTCAGCCTGGTCTCCTCTCAGCATGCCTTGGGCCCAGAGAAGGACGTTGAGGTGCTGAGGGCTCTGGGCTTATTCTGAGATGCTGGAGTCCAGACTGGGCATGGAGTGGGAAACCCAGGTGACTTGTCCCCTAGGCTGTGGTTACCAGCATTTGAGGATACTGGTGGCAGTGCTGCAGCAGGGGACACCAGGGAGGGCAAAGGAGGAGGACATGAGGGTAAAGGAGGGATGATGAGTGGGGGTGGGGCTTGGAGAGGACAGGGTCAGGAGTCGAGAGACTTGGGTCTCCATCCTGGCCTCACTATTCCCTGGGTGATATAGGGCAGGTCGCTCACCTTTGTTGGACCTCAGTTTTCCCATATGTAGACCAAGAAGTTAGACTGAGAGTCTCTGCAGCCTCTTTCAGCCGAGATCCTTGATGAAATCTATAAGCATGTGCATGCCCCCTCCTCTCTCTCACCTCTATCCCAGATTCCTCTCTCTGGCTCCTGGAGTCACTCCCCTTTCCCAGCCAGCCCCGACCCAGGGTTCTCCCTGCTACTCACCTGGGAGCGGCTGGCTGGGGCATGGAGAGGGCCCTCTGCAGCCTGAGCCAGGCCCTGGTGACTGTGGTTCCCAGGGTTTGCAGCCTGGGAAGTGACTCAGGCCCAGCCCAGGTCCTGGAGGGGGAACCAGGCTCTGTGTGAAAGGGGGAGGGGCAGAAGCTGCTGTCATGGGTAAGTGGCAGAGGTAGGATCCAGGGCACTGGAGCAGACTGGTGACATTGGGAACAGTTTTTTTCAGGGACACCTGAGGTCAGGTCACTTGTTAGGCATATAGGGACTCACCCCAGGTGGCAGCAGGAATGTGTGCTGCTCAAGTTTCCTTTCCCTTTACAACCCTGGCTCTGTGCTTCTTCCTTGTGGCCATGAGGTGGCAGGAGGAGGCTGTGCTGTTGTCCCCATGTCACTCCAAAGGTTATCTCTTTTGTCACTGGAGGGTGGCACAGGTGGGTAGAGAAGGACAAGGGACCCACACTGTCTTCCTCCCACTTCACTTCAGTGTGCTGAGGGGTCCCCATGCGTTCTGCTCACCAGTGCCATTGCCCCAGTCCTGATTTCTATTCCCAAAAGATGGAAGTGAGAGGAGCAGTAAGGTGCTATGTCCAGCAAGGGGCCAGCAGGGTTGCTCTGGGTCCCTCCACCCTGGCTGTCCCTGTCTCCTTGAGGTTGGGGGTCTTTCCATGACAGGTCCTTATTTCTCTGGTGGTAGGGATGCCCCAGGTACTAGTTCTGGGGTCAGAGAACAGAGGAGCAGGTTCCTTGGAGGAAAGTTCTTTTTACAGCTCCTAGGGACCACATCTAGACACTGGCACAAACCATGCCCAAGCCTGTCTGTCCTCTGCCTCCCTCCCAGCCTGTCTTTCTCCTATCAGAGGCTCCCTCTCCTATCTGTGTTTCTGTGTCTTTCTCTCCCCATCTCTGTCTCTCCCTATTTCTCTCACTTTTTCTGCTCCCTTCCACTCTTGCGGCACCCTTGGTCTCCTACTCGCTCTCCCAACTCAGAACCTGCTGTTCCCTCCCAAAACCCTGTGCCCTGGGTCTTCCTTTGTCATTTGCTACATCTCTCAGATGTCTTGGCAGTGAGGGAAGAGGAAGTGCAGAGTCCAGGCTGGGCTGGGCTGGGGGCATTGCTGCCCCCTCAGATGTGTGGGTGTCTGGTCAGAGCAGTCCCCATGTCTGGGGGCAGGCTGCCTCCTGGGATCTCTGGTCCCCACCCCTGGCCTGCTGGGTTCCCAGACCAATAGCCTGTATTTCCAAGCACTGGCATCCAGGCCTTTCTTGGGCTTCCATCCCCTGGGAAGTCCCTCAGTCATGGAGACAGCCAGGATGGGAGTCTGGGTCTTCAGGCCATATGGAGAGCAGCTTCAGGTAGTGTGCTGAAGTGGGTGCAGGAGGACAGCCCTGCTGGGAAGAGGGTGGCTGGCAGCGCAGCCCACCTGACACAGGTGAGGAACCAGATTATGAAGTGCAGATCATTGACTGGAAAGGGGGCTGCAAGGCTGGCTGCCCCAGGAAGAGGGTGGACCAGGCCAGGACCAGGTGAATGGCTTCCAGTTAGGCTGAGGTCTCAGCTGATTCCTGTATGCTTGGGAGCTGGGTGATGTGGGGCCTATCCTTAGAAGGGCAAATAGCTCAGGTGAGGTTAGGAGTCACTCAGACAGGGAAGTCAGGGATGGCTGGGGCACAGCAGGTAAAGGGTTCAATTTCCCCTGAGCTGCTCCATGGGCAGCTGTAGCTGTGCCTTCACCAAGGAGGGCTCTAGGCCAGGAACAGGATGTGGAGACACACACACACACACACACATAGACACATGGGGACTCCTAAGAAGGGGGAAAGATGTAGAGGGGACAGGGGTGTCACTTTGTCCCCATACCTGGCCTTGGGAGCTCAATCTGCACAAAAGGTTTAACAAAGGGCCCCTGGCTTACAGGTGGGGAGATAAGTGGGAGAGCAAGAGGGGGAGCAAGAGCACAAGGGGAGACCCCAGAGCTGCAACTGCCCAATCAGTAGGTCTGGAAAGCAAGATGGGGGCTGTTCTCATAGCCAAGAGGCTGCTAAAGAGCTGAGGGGGAAGGTCAACCCTGGGGGAGGGGCTGGGAGATGAGACTCCTGTTCTCAGGGGCCGGGGGGACAGCTGGGGTCAGAAGTGTCAGCCCACAGGAGGCTCCTGAGGGAGAGAGAGCTTGACATCCTTCATCCTTGCCCATCCCATAACACAGTCACCTGTTCCTCACAGGGCTGGTACCTTTGGGGATACAAGCCCAGGAGAAGGGCTGCTGGCTAGTCCACCAAGATGATGACCTGTGGCTCCCAAGGGACCACTGAGAACAAGAAGAACCCTTCCCATTAAAAGGTGCAAGCTCAGGGGCCTGTCCTGCTCATCAGAAGAACAGGGGAGATGGGGAGAGGCCAAGTACAGTGGACTGGGAGTCACATCTGTCTCTGCACCAACAGTGGGAAGACTGTGGTAAGCCCCAGCCTGGGCCTCAGCTTCCTCATCTGTGAACAGAGTAACTACGCCTGCTCAGGTCTCTTTTCAGGGCTGTGTGAGCCTGCTGTGAGGCTCCTCTAAGGCATTGATTATCATCATTGTGAACTGATTCTGACCTGCCTGCCAGGTCAGAGACTCCCAGCTCAGGGCTCTCCCCAGCTCCCAGACATACTTTTCTTTTCTTTTTTTTTTTTTATTTCTTTCTTTCTCTTTTTTTTTTTTAGAGGAGAGTCTCAAGCTGTTGCCCTAGAGCAGAGTGCTGTGGCATCATAGCTCATAGCAACCTCAAACTCCTGGGCCCAAGTGATTCTCTTGCCTTAGCCTCCCAAGTAGCTGGGACTACAGGCACCCACCACAACACCTGGCTTTGTTGTTGTTGTTGCTGTTGTCATTGTTGTTCTAGTTGGTCCTGGCTGGGCTCAAACTTGCCAGCTTTGGTATATGTGGCTGGTGCCCTACCCACTGAGGTATGGGCGCCGCCGCCCAGACCTACTTTTCAAGAGGGGCTCAGAAGTAAGGCTCCTGCCAAGCCAGCTACTGAAAGGATCAACTGGCCCCTTCCAGGGAGAGATGAACTTACCGGCTGCTTCCAGGGAGAGAGGGAAACAGATGTTTCCTGAACATCTACTATGTGCAGGGAATGTTACATACCTTAGCCACCCAAGTGGCTAAAATGACATGTCTGTGCATGGGGCTTGGCAGATGAAGGGTGGGCAGCAGGGTGGATGGTGGGAGAGGGGAAAGGTGCATGGTTCACCAATGAAAGGTGATGATCAAAGAGACGGTGGAGGAGATGGGGACCACGGAGAGGTAGATGGTCTGATGGGTGAGCAGGTAAGTGAGAGTGTAGAGCCAGTGTCTACCAAGAGGACACTGTATTAGGTCTGCAGACCATCAGACTGCAGGCTGGGTCAGAAGACTCTAAGGACTGGGTCTAGAGACCTGCCAGATTCAGTCTGGACTCCTTCCAGATTCAGCCATCGTAGATGGGTGGTTTCACTTCCATCCTTTTGGGAATAGGAACCAGGACTGGAATGATGGCACTGGTGATCAGTATGCATGGGGACCCCTCAGCACATTGAAGTTAAGTGAGAAG